CACAATGCCGTCAGCGGTGCGGCCGAAGTGTTCCGGCGCTTCCCACATGAAGAAATTGCCAGCCTCGGCCGCGAAAACTGTTGCTTTCAAACACTGGTCGATAAAATGATTGGCAGAAGTCACCTTCTGCATAGACGAATCCTTAAGCCATGGAAAACCTCGGGGCCACTTGTCACCGCGGAGTGGCGGGGGCCCCGGTTGCTTATGCCTCGCCCGACTAAAAGTATCATAAGGTGGCGAAATCAAGATCACGGTTTTCGGTTGTTTCACAAGCTCAAACAACTGATCCCAAGCATCACCACAAAACAGGTTGTTTGCATCAAATCCAAAAGCGACGAATTCTGGCTGCGACAGGCTATTGCTGAGATGCGGTGCCCAATCAAAGCGCTCAGCAGGATCTGCAAAGACATGAACCACCCTTGATGCCACAGGTTGGCCAGACAGCAACGGCGGCAGCTGGTGCCCATGCGCCCCCTGCTGAGCGCAACTCTGTCACTTACCCGCTGTCGCGGCTTCATGCTGCGAGGCTGGGTGCTCGCCGAAACACCCTGCAACACGACACGCATGCACACGTGCACACTTCGGATCGGTACAGCCCTGGTGGTTGTATGCATAACACAACTGACGGCCGTCGGGAGTCGCTGACACAAGTGCAAGTTGTTTCCCATTTGACAAGACAACCTGGCCCTTGCCTTTCTTGCCTTTGCCTTTCCCTGCTCCACGACCGTTCTGATGCGGCGCCGGCGGCGGTGGAATCTCTTGCCCTTGCGTCTTATCCTTCCCTTTGCTGTTGCCCTTCCGAAACTTGGTAGGCGTACCAGCTGTGTGCAATGCCAGAGGTGTCGTAAAGTAAGCCTCTTTCAGCGATGGATCCTCACGCACTTGCCGAAGTGCCTCTGCCATGGTGGCGGTTCCCTCCAGGATCATCTTGAAAGCTTCAACCCTCAACTTATATTCGTAACTCAAGACGATGTTCCAAGGAGGCCTATTGAACTGCGTCTCTTGCCCTGAAGCAGTGGGCAACTTTAAGTTGCCAACACGATCTCCCAAGATGTACTCAACGAACTTAGTGAAATCATCAAGCTGAAGCCCTTGCAACCAAGCCTTTGCCTTAAACCGTGCACTCATGCAGAGCCATGCATGTGCCTCGACCTTCATCAAGCGTCTATAGCCCTCTGAGTGATGCGGCATTTCCAACTTCTGCATAGTCTTTGTCACCCGAACATGCCCGGTGGGATCAATGCTAGTCTGGAGGCTCTCCACCTGCGAATCCTTCTTTGAAGAGATGCGATCAAGCGAACTTGCGAGAGGCTCATTGCTCTCGCACTCCTCGGCCTTTGTTGCCAAGTACTCCGCACTTGGCGTCTCGCTTTCATTCATCTTCCCGTATGCATCCGTCACTGCCTTCAACATAGCTTGGCGTTCCTGCACTTGCAAGATTCTCTTATGGCCTAGAACTTTCGCCTCTGCACGTAGCTCGATTTCTTTACTGGCATACTCCTTGGCAAGTTCCCACGCAGCTACTATAGCTGCCACCTCAACACGGCCCGCCGGCGTATCAGGATTAATCCCGAAATCACGTGCAGCTGTCCGGGCACCTTCGCGGTTGTCGGCGATCGCCTGGAATCGCCTACGACTCTGATGGAGCCGCGCGACCTGATATTGCGTGGCCAGTGACGCACTGGCTTCCTGAAGCACATACTGCAAATCGGAATCCATCTTTGCCACTTCTGCTCTCTGATCCGCCTCACTGGGCAACGCCATGCTATCTGAAACAGCACCGTGCTGTGCAACTGAAACCGCACTCTCAGCGGTGGCCCATGGCAACTGAAAATCACACAGCTCCTAACACCGCAAGTGAAGAACTGCATGCACTCGTGACTTACACTAAAATCGTGGATCACTCACAATCACGAACATGCCGATGGTCCTGCGAAGCTGCCTTAGCCAAACTCCCTCACGCGAGCACCTACCCTTGCAAACAGCCATGTACATGCCGCACCTCGAACACAGCACATTCCTACCGCAACACACAATTTGTCGCCAAGCTTCGAACATACTCTCACCCCTCTTCGCAACTCGAGTCACTTGTGGACCCACTCTCGCTACTTGTGTCCTGATCGTCCTCGGCACCTTGATCTTCCCTCATACGATGCTTGCAATCACGACAAATGCTGTCGATCTGATCCAGTGCGACACGCTCGACAAACTCGACCCTATTGCAATGATGTGGCTTAACATGGCACGGCCCATTCAAGTGCAGCCTGCGATGGCCCGTCTTACGACTGATGCTAATGAAGTACTTTGTGGCACTACCCTCAACGTTCATCGCTTCCGGTGCCTCCTCCTCTTCGCTGGCATCTGCATCGTCCTGTTCAATAGCAGGCCACTTGTTGCCCAAGCAGCGTACGCCTTCCACAGTCCTAAGTAGATCATGCCGCCGCCTTGCCAATGCACCTGAACCTCCACGTTCGTCTACAAAGGATTTTAGCTCTTCGAGGGCTTCACTCTCTTGATACTCGCCACCCTTGCCGGTGACAATTGCTTCGCACACTCCAATCTGTATGCGATGCACAACCTCCCTTGCAGTGCGCGTGTAGTCGGCAGAACCCGAACCACCGATCATCCAACGACCCAAGAAATCCCTCTGATCCTTAGACCATCCCAACACCGCGGCTGCTGAAGTAAGCCAATTGCGTGGGCTATGCCCCGTGAAGAAGCCTTGGGCCCCTTCCACCAAGAGGTACCTCTGCAAGTTGAGGCGATAGGCCCCATCCTCAAACTTCGGCGTTGCTAGCCTCTTGAAGACCTCACGCACATAGCCTGCAACTACCTCGCTCTTAGCAAAGTGCTTAGTTGGCCCTTTCCAATCGTCCCTGGCAATCATGACAAGGAAGTCTCTCGGCTGAGTATACTTCTTCCAAAGCGCAAAGCCCTCACCCAGCCAATCAAACCCGGACAATCCTGCCTGCCTATGTATGAAGACCGAGACCTCCTTGTTGCGACGGTCTGCTCCCGTCGTCTTGGTGCGTCCCAGAGTGGCCTGGAAGCCCTGTGCTGTAAGCCGCATGGTGGCCGGCAGCATCCCTTGCAAGTCGTCCATTCGCATTGAACCATACACAGCCAGCAGCGCCACGAATGCCATTGCCCGTACATACTCGGGTTCATCCTCTCTTGCAATGTGCAGTTCAAGTGATATGATCATCGCCACCGTCATCATGGGTGCTTGCTGTACAGGTGCTTGCGCACCCACCAAGTCTGCAGTTAACGACTTCAAGTGTGCCATCCATGTTGTATCACTCGACAGGCGCTGAGTCTCTGCGACCTTTCCCACTTGCTCCAGGACGGCCAGCGACGCCTGGAAACTGTTCAGCACTGTCTTGCCACACTCGCTTTGATATCTCTCATTGCTATAATCAATCAGCTGCCGCACGCTAGTTGGCCACTGCACTTCATGGACACACTGCAGCCATGTCCTGAAGGGTTCCCAGGCCTTTAAGCGGTTTCGCAGCGTCTTGCTCCTGCGGGTTCCAAATATCCGCGGCCAAACTTCTTCGGGCCGGTCCACTCCCTCCAGCTGTTGCACCAATGGCAACTTCGCCTGCTTAAGTATCTCAGCCAGTTGTAAGGCATACTTCTTCTTCGCTAGCTGCTCCTCCTTTGCTCGCTGTGTAGCGTCGGTATTTTCTCTAAGCAAGCGCCTCTTCCGCTGCAGTGCCGGTAGCAGGACAAGCGGGTTGCTCCTTGCCAGCTCATCGAAGGTGTCCGTCAGCTTCGGCACCACACGCTGCTGAGGTAATACCTCCCACATGCCCTGCAACGACTCTCTTCGCTGTCGCTTCATCACTGATTCATTTTCCTGTGCCCATGCCACAAGAACGTCTGCTCTCTGATATTTCCCATCTCGGTTGATGCCTGGCAAGAACACCTCGATTAGTTCAGCCGCCTCCTCACGACTATCGAAAGCTGCCTGCAATTGCCTGGGGTTCGCGAATGCCCCTTTAAGGAGTGCAAGCTCCTGCCCTTGCAGCTCTGGCCATGACATCTACGTCCGAAGGAGCCTTTGCCCCACACTACCAAAAACTAAAACTGAGCCTAAACATATCGGAAAGCCGGATTCTCACTGAGAACTGAAAGGATCTGAGTCAAACTGAGAGACAGTGAGCTGAAAACGGAAACTTGGAAAAACTCAAAACTGAAAATATCTTTTCCCGCCCGGCCGCCCAAAATTCGAAGGTTTCAACAGTTCAACTGGGCAAGCCCAGTAAAGCCTTTCCGAGTTGATCTCGCCGCAAATCGCCATCCAAGTACTTACGACAAGCGTGAAAACAACTTCGTTGGCAAACTTCCGCATGCGACATGAAAGCACTACAAAGCACCACAAGGCCGTGGGACAAACGAAGGCTTCAGGCACTCACGCCTTGGCATTCCGCAGCTTCTGCTTGCACCGAAATAAAACCATCTGACTTTTCATTGCATCAAAATACAAACATCTGACTGCTTTCCGAGTTGATCTCGCTGCAAAGCGCCATCCAAGTACTTACGACAAGCGTGAAAACAACTTCGTTGGCAAACTTCCGCATGCGACATGAAAGCACTACAAGGCACCACAAGGCCGGGGGACAAACGAAGGCTTCAGGCACTCACGCCTTGGCATTCCGCAGCTTCTGCTTGCACCGAAATAAAACCATCTGACTTTTCATTGCATCAAAATAAAAACATCTGACTGCTTTCCGAGTTGATCTCGCCGCAAAGCGCCATCCAAGTACTTACGACATTGACCCAGCCCAATAAAACAGCGTTCCAAATCATCCCGCAGCCGTAAACTAGGGTATCAAATTCCGCACTTTCTCCTATCCGTCAAAGCACATGTCCAAATTCATTCAACACACAAAACAATCGGCTCCGAACAGACACTTTCGGACCGATCTGTTCTTAAAGCAGGCGCAGGTGGAACATCTTTTGCGCGGGCCGCGAAGCGGGAGTCAGCTGTGGTAGGATCAAGGCGAAGGAGTACGCATTTTTTTGCGAAACTCCTCGGTTCGCCTGTCCCGCCGTGGACGCCTGGCTTTGAGAGTCTTGGGGCCCCTTGCAATGGGGTGGAGATTCAAGCCGCCTAACACGGATTTGTAAAAGAAAGCCTGCTCGCTGCAGCTACTGTGCACAAAATGTGGATGTTCATCCACGACACGGCCCGTGCTAAGCACATACATCACAGTGTACTTGTAGAACAATTTTTTATGCATGGAAAAGGACCACTGCCTTGGGTTTCCCAAAGCAGTGCGAAAAGCAGCTTCACCGTCTTCATACAAAGAACAAAGTGCCAAGTCCAACCGCTGCACCATGTCCGTTTTCTTGTTCTTGGCATACTCCAGTTTGTACTTTGGCATAACGATGACTGAAGTAATGTCCACCGTCCGACAGTCTACCCTGATGCGGCCCGCAGTCTCGTACTTGAGAAAGGTGTTTGCGTCACCTTGCAGCATACACTACTTCACTGTTTTAACCAAGCACCAACACTGCTTTTGGGAACACGACACATGCCGCATGCCTTCCTTATCTCGCCACTGCTGCATCAAGTCCAATGTGAGCCGGTGGGATTGGATTCCTTCATCATCTTGCTCGGACTTTAACCTTTTCGCACTGTACGCAAGTGACTCAGGAGGCTCCTCGATTTGAAAGCATGCTTTGGCATACTGTCCTCCGCGCACCAGAGTCTGCAGGGTCACTGCTGTTTCACGCACCAATTGGCTGACATCCTGGTGTCGGAAGCCTTTCTTGAAAAGACCTTTGATCGAACGCCAAGCCCGCTCTTGGGAATTCGACACATAAGTACCGTAGCCCGGGCACACTTGACCGAGACCACTCTGCCAATCTGCGCTCCACCACAAGCCTTTCTTCTGCAAGACCCACTTCTCCAAGTAATCCGCGAATTTCTCCTCAAGCAAACCTACAAGCTCCGCTGCGCTACCCCAAGGCAGCTTTCCCAGCAGCAGCCTTCTGGTCCATCAACCCAGTGCTATCAAGATCGAAAAACATAGTCTATAACGCCAGCTCAAAAGATCGAAGAAACTAGTCGATCAACCCAGCTACCAAGATCGAAGAAAATAGTCTATGAAGCGAGCTCAGGAATCCACTTTACACACACACACAAACTGCGCTGTCCTGATTCCAGTCTTCGGGGTCACGCAACCTTCGCAACGTGTCTTCCCAGATGACATGGAACTGTAGTGGATGTGCGATTTTCGCGCTGAACTGGATGATTTCCGTTATCTCCAATGTCAACTCTGAGTCAACTTTCTTCTTGCTCCCGGTGCGCTTGACGTCTTTCTTTATGTGTTCTAAGTCCCGGTGCAAAGTAGCGTCTGGAACATGCACTTGCTCCCAATCCAAACCCGAAGCTTCCAATAGCTTCTGGAAAGATCGACATAAGAGGGCATAACACGGTTCATCTTCCTTGTCACACACAGCACAAACTACCGGCCAGAATCGATTGCGCACCACTCCGCCAACCTGGTGCAAGATGACCAGTCCGAGGCTAGCTAACACAAGATCCTGCACATTGGTCTTGAATGTGGCATCCATGACGAGCACACACCGATCCTGTGTGCGAAGGTAGGCAATCACGGCGTCCAAATTCTCTTGCTCGTAGAACAAGACCCGAACCGTTTCTTCTGAAACCAGAGGTGTCTCTTCCGTGTGAAGCACCACGACAGGCGAGGGTGGGTTTTGGCAAACAGCTGCAAATGTGGAAACGAACTTGCCGTCATAGGATTTGCCCTCTTCCAAATGTCGGTGTCTGACACCATCTAAAGCTCGATCACTTGGAATGTGTTCCGCCGGAATTCCCAGCTCTGTCATAGCCTTCTTCGCCTGTTTTGCTGGAAGGTGGCGTCCAAACTGGTGCTTATTCAAATGCTGCTCGACCTCTGCAATGACCTTCCCGTCGTGCTTGCGACCCTCCCGAACAGATCTTTCAACACGCACGTAAAAGACTTCCTCATCCAAATCAAGCAAGTCTGGTGGAAGTGCAGAACCTTAGCACTCTCGGACATCGCTTCACAAGAATTTTGAAACCGATTTCCCAAACAACAACAAAGCTATTTTGCCAAACTGCCTTCTTCTTTGTTGCTCACCAAGGAAAACTGGAACTTCATGGAGCATGCTTCGTGCCTGTGACAGTAACAATCTGCGTCGTCTTCTTCTTCAATTGAGAAGATACGAAGCGAAACTTGGCTTCCTTTTCCTTTTCGCTCCACCTCTTACAGCAATCCAACAATCCTTCGCGTGGTTGTACTGGCAGCAACGAATCGAAGTACCAAACTTGCTCTTGTTTTGGAGGCATGGCGGATTGACTCACTGCGCTTTCCGTCTTAAAAAGGCTGAGTCATGTCAAGCCATCAAAGAGCATGTCATGCCAACATTCCCGACATCCAGGTCTTGATCTTCAGCCCCAGCACGTTGTAGGGAAGTTCATTAATTTTTTGCCTTCATCACGATCACTTGATGTCGGTTGAAACAAAGAAGAAGTACAACAACAACAACAACAACAAGAACCAAAATGAGGACAACCCAAAACAACAAAGCAATTCAACAAATGTAGCCAAAACATGTAAGTTTTTGGAAATCCAACATAGCAAGAACTTTGTGAAAGTGAAACCAGTTCATGGAGTCCCACTCCTTTGACAGAGCACTATTTTAATCCCTTGTGCACGAGCTGGCAATAAACCCGAAAACTGGTTGGGCACCACAGGAGCTGTTAACAGTTCTATTCTATTTAGTCCGTATTGGCTCCAAGCTTCATTTCCCGTTGTGCCTGGCGAACACTTTCAAACAAATCCTCAGAGGTGAAGTTCAGCCAGACCGTGGTTCCTTCAACAACGCCATTTCAAGGAATAGTGTCTGAATTGGAGCTTCACATCGGCTCCAAGTTTCTAGAGTTCCCGTTGTGCTTGGACTCACAAACAAAATTCAACTCTAGACAGGCAGAAACACAAAAATTGAAACTTGCAACTTTTCACATTTTCTTTGCGAATTTCTGGAGCTGAAAAGAAACTAATTCAAGTTTGAAAATTGAAGGAACACTCGAATCAAGACAGCCGGACGAGAAAAAAAAAACTGCATTTTGAAGTTTCAATTTCAGCCGTGCTCTCTTAATTTAACCGTTTTTTACATTTTTTTGACATAGGCAGAACTTCAAGGGACACAAGGCCCGGAAAAAAGGCAGACAGAAGTTTTGGCTATTGTGTCTGTTGAGTTTGCACCTGCACGAAGAATCAAATTCTGGACGATTTAGCATCGAATGAAAAGTAAGTAGCCATTTTGACCGAAAAATGGTAATAAAATTGGCTGGAGACTGCGCTCGCAGACTCCCGCTCAATTGGAACCAGCGCTCCGCCGGCAAGAAGTCTGGCTTTAGGTTTTTGGGGGTTGGTAAGGTCCTCACTCCCATTGCTCTTGGCCCTGAAAGACGTTCATCCCGACCTTTTGTGGCAGCCGATGCGCATCTAGAGAGTTGCTCATGTCCTGAGGGCAGCGGAAGTGCACCTCGGTGCGGTTCCCACTTCGGGCCACTACCGGACCGCGCTGTTTCAAGATGCCAGAGTTATGTACACGGATGACAATATGGTTTCGGTTTTGGCTAATGCGAGTCAGTGTTCGCTGCAATTTACAGTGCAAACACACACTCCGAGGAGACTCCTGTGACAACACGGCACAACTGTTGTCATCGAGAGGTTCGCCAAGGTGTCAAAGCAAAAGTACATGTTTTTAAAATTCTTTCATTGTTGTTTCTGAGCAGTTCTAACACTCACAGGCAAAGGCACAAGTACACAGCAACTGTGAACACACTGCATGTGCTGGCGCAACACTCTTTTTCTCTGGTGACTTTGGGAATCCACAATCCTCATCGGTCAAACACCACCATACGGCAGTGACTAACCTAGTGCACTAGGGATGGCAGGACAGGCTAACCCCAGGGAATCCACAATCCTCATCGGTCAAACACCACCATACGGCAGTGACTAACCTAGTGCACTAGGGATGGCAGGACAGGCTAACCCCATCCGCAACGGCCTACGGTGCATCAGCATAGCTGCTGATCTCAAGAAGAGTGGCACTTCAAGAGTTTGTGTCGTTAACAAGTCTGGCAATGTGCAAGCTGGAAAGCCCAGTGCTCCAGCCGGAAGCTGAGCGCAAGAGCGGCACGAGATCTGGCATCTGTTTGCGAATGTGCCCGAGTTGGGTGGGCGGGTGGGAAAATTTTTCTTTTTGAGCCGCTGTGGCTCACACTGCACGGAGATGTATTCTGCTGCACCAAGTCTCATCAGAAACGAAACTCCCCCGAGTTTCTCAAATCAAGAATTTTAAAACGCTATCAACAAGTTGACCGCCAGCGTAATCTTCCCAGCGTCTCTTCTTGGCTGGCTTGTGGACTGATGCCTGTCCACGTCAATATTCCAGGCTTTGACCTCTCTCTCTGGACGGTTTCCCCACCCCGCCCTCCGTTCCTGCTGAGAGGATCACGGATCTAAAATTTCGAGAGGACCTCGGAGGCCTTATCGGCTCTAAACTGCAACAGAGAGGCCCACGACGCCCGCACCGGAAATTCCTAAACCCTAAACCCTAGTCGAAAATCCCAAAGACCCTCCCAATCCCCCTTCCTCGGACTGTTTTTTTCGAGGGACCTATGCGAAGCTCCTGGAGACTCAGCGGGATCCTCTGTCGTCGCGCTTCTCAGCGGGGTCTGCCTGAAAGGAGAAAAGAGGCCCAGCACAACAAGAAAAGGCTTCAGGCACCCCGAGACACTGCCTCCATGTATCGCCCACGTGGTCCACGGCTCCTGCTTCGATCTCGGCGGTCCTCGGCGAGAAGGGCTGTTGTAGGGGGCGTGCAGGGGTGCAGGGCACTGAGGCCTCGTGGGCTTGGGCCGCCTCCTGCGCTTGGCGGATGTCCTCGGGGCGAAGATCCCGAAGTCTAACGTTGGGGTCAGGAAGCAGCCGAGGCCCCTGCCCACATCCTTCTGAGGGTGACCTTCTGAAGGAGAACGACGGAAAGGTCCTTCTGCAGCAGCGCCTTAGGTCTTGGGATTACAGTAGGGAGAGGGGGGTGACAGCGGAAACGAGGTCGGAGCAAGTTCTTCCAGGGTCAGCCCAAACAGCGCACGTCGGCGCTGGTCGCTGGTCATCTGCACGAGGTCCATGCCCTGGCCGGAGCGAGAATGGAAAAAAACTCACAAGCTGCGTTCTCCGGCCTCCAGCAAAGTCGCTCTCCCGCCCCACCCGCAGCCCGATAAAACGGCTCAAGTGCTGTAAGCCTACATGCCACGACCTCTTCTAGAATTGGCTTGATGCTTGGAAAGCTCAGCTGCCGGACAGCCGGTCTCTTTTTTATCTCCGGCAGGCAAGAGGCTGGTGAACTTAACGAGCTGGCCTAAAAACGACCCCTGGGAAGACAAACGCCGAGCGAGCGGCCTTCCGAGCTGTAGTGGGTCCCTGCTGTGCTGGCCAGCTCACAAAACTGCAAAATCTCAGCCTCGGGTGGGCTGTCCTGGAGCTGTGGGCACCCGGACGCGCCACGGTCTGCTGCTGTGGTTGCCCGTCATGTTCGAGACCATGCGCTGCAACATCGCACTGTTGCTGGTGTTGTTGAACTCTTCGGCGATACACAGCACGCAGCTGCCCTCGGTTCTGTAGATGAACCGAGGCTCGGCGGGATCAACCCGGTAGGTGAGCTTCTGGCCGTTTTCCGTCACGACAGTAAACTTCTGCCTGGATCGCTGCTTGGGAGTCAGGCTGGCACTGAGCACCATCAACTCGGCAAAGTGGCTTTTCGAAACAAACGCCGGCCGAAGCTCCTTCACCGAAAACGGAAAGCCTGAGGGCCGCATCCGAAACCATGTCCGCGTACTCGACCAGCCGCTCGGCCTCCTCTCGTGCCCGATCAGCCATGGACCTGCCAGGGCCAGGCTGAGAGCGGAAAAAAACAACGGCCCGAGCCCCACCTCAGCTCAGCTCGCGTCGCCCACCCCGCCGGCCCAAAACTGATCTGAAAACGGCTGCGGCGGTCCCAAGTGCCAAAGGCTAGGTGCGGCGTGACCGGCTGCAACAAACGCAAGAAGCACTGGCAGCTCGGAGCTCGGACGACCGGAAAATGTTTTGGCCGCGCCCCCTCCGTATCACTGTCGAAGCCTCTTTGGCGGGGGAAGCTGTCGCTTCGGCTCACGTCGTCGCTCCCTGACAGTCGAAAGTGTCATCAGGGACCTCCGGGTGCAAAAAAGTCCCGCCAAGGTCCCGGCTGCTCTTGCTCTCGCCGGATCTCCTCCATTCGCAGCCTGCCAGGTCACACACGCAACGACTGCCGATCCCCCAAAAGGAAACGGCCTGGCCAAGAGCATTGTGTTGACCTCCTCGAGGAGCTGGTGCAACTCCGCTGAGCTGCACTCATCGAGCATCCGGCGGCGCTCTTCCCGACCGTGGTCGCGTTCCCAAGTCTCCTTGAGCGACATCACCTGGCCGACCAAACAAGGCACACTGGACTCAAGAGAGCAGGGATGGCGCCTCCGGGACCCAGGCCACCAAAAGAAAGCCCACCGCCCACCACGCCCGAGACTCGAAGTGGCTGCAGGGAAAGCAAGGGCTCACAAGCTTGACCGCGGAACCTCCAGGCACAAATCGGAGCTCGGATTTTTTGGCGACTGTCGCTCGCCCGGTGAGTCGGGCCCGACGCCTTCGTGGCGTGTGCGGGCCGAGCTTCACAGCCGAAAAAAGGACTGAGATAATCTCCTGTGCGAGTCCTTTGCTGCTGTACAACGGCCGTTGACAAAACCAAACACAGCTGTCTAAGCCAGCTGGAACTGCACCTTCGCCTTGCCCACCGGGACGGACTGCTTGCTCGGACTCACGAGCTTCTCGGTCTTGAAGTTGACCTGGTAAAGTTTGTAGCTCCACCAGGACTTGTCCCCCAGGCCCAGCCGAATCTTGGCCACGACCTTCTCCTCCATCTTGGCGCTCAGCACCGTCCGGGCGGCCTCGTAGTCCTCCAGGCTCCTCGGCGTGAGCTGGAACCAGCCCTCTGAGGTCCGGTGGACTTTGAGCCCCAGCACCTCCTCCACGGCCTGCTCGGGCTCGGAGCACTGCATCTCGGCATCCCGCGCCAGGTTCTCCGTGGGGGGCTCCTCGATCTGCGAGCCAGGCTCCTGAGATTCCGCGGGCTTCTCCGCAGGCGCAAGCTCCTCGGTGTCGGTGGCCTGCTCCGAGGCCTGCTCGGTCTTGTCCGGGCAGTCCTCGCGAGTCGGCTGGTCCGGCGCGGAACCCACCTTGGTGACATTCTTGCTCCAAAAAACCGGATCGATGTCATAGACGTCCTCCTTCACGAGCAGCACACCCTGGGGCATCGGGGCCAGGAACTTGGCGTGGCCCGGCTCCATCTTCACCTCCCGGAGCGGCCCCAGCGGGCTGAAGCCCGTGTTGCGCTCGACGCTGAAGCGCACGACCCTGCCATGCACGACCATCTCCCACAAGTCCTTGGGCTCTGGCGCAGTGGGAACGGGCTCCGGCATGGTGGGCTCGACGGGCTCGGTAGTGTTGGGCTCGATCTGCATCGACACGACAGGCTGCATGGGCTCCACAGTCTCCATTCGCTCGGTGGCAACGGTGGGCTCGACGAGCTCGGTGGGCTCGACGGGCTCCGGGGCAGTGGGCTCAACGGGCTCCGGCGTGGTGACGCGCTGACTGGTGTCGGCGGGCTGCTCGGAGGCAGTGGTGGCAGCAGTTGCCCCACGTCCCACAAGGCTGTCGGACCGAAGCTCGGGCTCCTTCGGCGCCAGAGCCGCGAGTCGGACCTGGACGACCCTAGCCCCGGGCACGAAGCTCTCCGGGAGCTCCTTCACACCCTCGAGATTTAGTTGGCACTCCAGCACATAGCCATCCTCGAAGCCACTCTTGACCCGCATCCTGGCCTCGTCGTAGGAGTCCCTGTCCTCGACGAAGACCTCGAGCCAGGGGCCGTTGACCGTGCCCAGGAAGCCCTGCACCCGCGCCAAAGCCGCGGTTCGGATCTCCCTTTGGCGCTTCGTTTCCTGCTCTGCAAGGGCCCGTTGGACGGCGAGCTTGTGATTCTCGGTCAGGGGGGCGTCCTCGACCTCCTCGGCCACGCTCGGCGGAGCTCTTGTGCTCTCTGCATCCTCGTCCTTTCTCACAGCTGGGGGAAAAAATGGCCTCCAGCTCGGCGGGAAGCTCCTCGACCTGGGGGGCGTCCAGCTCCGTCGGCTCGGCCAAAAGCTCCTCGACCTGGGGGGCATCCAGCTCCATCGGCTCAGCGGAAAGCTCAAGCTCCTCGACCTGGGGAACATTCAGCTGGATCGGCTCGGCGGGCACTGGGACCTCTGAAGAAACGGCCCTTTGATTGGCCGAAGGATCAGCGTCCTCGATGGTCTTTGGCAGGAAGTAATCCGCGGGATTGAAGTTGGGCACGGTGAAGCGCAGGGCCAGGAGAGCCGTCGGGGCCACGACCTTGTTGTTCGTGACATCCCGGATCCTGCCCTTCACCAGCTGCACCTCGAAGGGGCCTTTTCCCGTGATCGCCTCCAGCTTGAGGACCCGGGACCGGAAGTGAAAGTGCAAAACTTTGCACACCTTGTATATGTACTCGTACAGTATGTACACGTATTTTCCATTTGTTTTCCTGGCCGGTATTTACATGTGCATTTGTTTTACTTGAAGAGCTCCCTAATTCGTTTGAGCCCAATGTGCTGACTTCGCTACTCCGCAGGCGCTTGTGTTTGAGTGAAAATTAGCATGGTAGCGGAGCGCTTACCGGTTCATTCCTTTGGGTCTGGCCGACAAGCGTCTCCTGGGAGCCGAAACCTCACTCCCTTGCTACACGTAGCACAACGAGCAACATACACGTGCAGCCTTCGGGGTTCTTTGGAAGGGCCCAGGCTTTTCAAACTTGGAGTTTGTTTCTTCGGTGAAAGTAGCGCCTCTCGTCCTTAGCTTGCAGTGATGGCTGCATTGCCCGCGGCACAAGCTGTGCCAGATGATGACGATGACGACCTTGGGGGTCCAGTGCTCCCCCCTTTGCAGCCGATACGTGAGACTGTGTCTGGCAATCCTTGGCCCGCTGCTGGCAGTCCTGTCTCGAGCGATCAGGTGACCGCGTTGTTGCATCAGCTGGGCAACACAACAGCTCTCCTGGGTCAAGTGATAGGGCAGCGCAGTGCCAGTGATTCTTCGGTGTCGGGACTTACAGGCAAAGACATGTCTCGCATCATGCCCCGTCCAGAGCCTTTCCGTGCTGCAACGAGGGAACAAGAGCATTCTGCTTGGCCTTCATGGCTTTGGTCTCTTGAGCAGTATTTGACTGTCTTAGACCCCAAGTTCGGAGAAGAGATCGATCAGCTGAAATCAAACTTGCACCGGCAGGTGAACATTTCTCCCGCAGCCACAGACATCGTCGCGCGCTCGCGGCAGCTCTTCGCTTTGCTTTCGGTGTTGGTAAAGGGACGTGGGTTTCTTGTGATCAAGTCGGTCTCTGGGAACTGTGGGTATGAAGCCCTTCGGCAGCTCATTTCCTTGTATGCACCGCAGAGCAAGTCACGCAGCCTTGGCATCTTGACGGCCCTGACACAGGTCAGTGCTTTTAAATCTGGCGAGGCAATGTTTCCACAGATTCTTGAGCTTGAACGGGTTTTTACAGAGTACGAGAGCGCTTCGCAACAGCTTCTTCAGGAGGAGCTCAAGACGGCGCTCCTTTTGCGTTGTTTGCCCGCTGCTTCGAGAAATCAGGTTCATGCCACCCTTCCAGAGGATGCTTCGTATGCTGCAGTGAGGGACTGTGTCTTGCGCATCGAAAGGCAGCAGTTCAAGTGGCAAGGCGTTTCATACTTTGGTGATGTTGCGCAGGGTTCAGGTGCAGGGACTGGCGATGGTGCCACTCCTATGGAAATCGACCGTGTTGCCGGCAAAGGCAAGAAGGGCAAAGGCAAAACGAAAGGCAAGGACAGCAAGGGCAAAGGAAAGCATGGCAAGGACAACAAAGGCAAGGGTCATCATGGCAAGGACAAAGGTCAGTCCAAAGGCAAGCAAGGTGACAAGCCTGCAGCTGATAAGTGCTTGTACTGTAACAAATCTGGCCACTGGAAGTGCGATTGCAGGAAGGACAAGGCCGATTTGAAGGCAGGCAAGGTGCAGGCTGTGTCCGAGGAGTCGGGATCCACCGTCTCGACTGTGACTCCGTCTCAGAGTGCCTCTCAGGTTGGTGCAAAGGGTCGGGTTGCTAGGCTTGCGGAGATAGACCTTACAGCTTTTGATGAGTGTGATGAGGAGTTTCTTGATGGAGACACCCGCGTTTGCATGATCCAGTGCAGCATGGAACGAGTTGAGCATTTTTCGATCAGTGACCCCTCTGAGGTTCGTTGCAACGCTTGGGATACGATCTGTGAGTACGAGCTTTTGAGCCTCCCGAGTGATGTGCTCTTGAAGCTGTGTGAAGCCAAGCATCTGGAGTGCCATGCGGATCATTCCAAATCCCTTGCAGATCCTTTCAAGTGCCATGCAGATCATTCCAGATCCCGTGCAGATTCCTTCAAGTGCCCTGCAGATCAGTCCAGATCCCTGGCAGATTCCGTCAAGTGCCCCGTGCATCAGGTCAGTTGTGATGCCGATCAGGTAACGCCTCTCAAGCCGTCTGTGTATGTGCATGGCAGTGTCCGTGCTCTTGCTAGTGTCAACGGTGAAGACATCATTCTGGACTCAGGAGCGGATATCAGTGCACTCCCTGAGACGTACGCCCAGGTTGGTGATCCTGCTCCATCGTCGGCTCAGAGGTTCGTCGATGCTTCAGGCCGTTTGCTGCAGTCCAAAGGCATACGCATTGCAGAGGTTCGTGTTGGTTCCATCAGGTTCCGTGAAAAGTTCTTGATCGGAGGAGTTACTTGCCCTCTCCTTTCTTTGGGCAAATTGTACAAGGCAGGATTTTACGTAATCCCCTCCACTTCAGGTGACAGTGACTTCATCCTCACCAACGGTGATCTGTCCGAACCGGTCAGGTTGAAGAGGCAATCTCTATGCGCAACGGGCAGTGTGCGTGTCCTCAACGCTCTACCTTCAGCAGTGCGGGCGGTGAGTGCAGCATTGCATGGTCCTTTGCTCCGTCTTGACGCGTCAGGGTGGCAAAGGATAGGTTCCAGACGCTATGCGCTTCTAAGTTTTGGGCAGTCTTATGTCGACAGCACGCTGATTCCCTTGACTGAGTTGCTTTGGTATCGCACCACACTTGTGCGCAGAGATGGCCGGTGGACTGTTGCTGAGTTGGCAGCCGATGTGAGCTCTTTGACGGATCGTACGTTGCCGCTTGGGCCCCCGGCTGTCGAACAGGTTATCACCATTGCGTATGACGATGCCTCCCTAAGCCCTGAGAGCCTAGGGTTTAGTCCCTCTGATTCCGATGACGTGCCAAGTTCCCTTCAAGGTGCAGGTTCTGTTGAGGCTCCAGAGGTTCCAGTGCCGGATGCCGCCGATCAAGGTCCAGAGGTTCCAATGCCGGATGCCGCCGATCAAGGTGCAGAGGTACCAATGCCAGATGCCGCCGATCAAGGTGCAGGTGTAGGCGGACTTGAAGGTGATAGCGATCTCCCTCCGAGTGCTGATCAAGCGGCTCCAGTCGCTCCTGCGGCTGATGGAGGTGGAGAGGCGGCTCCATCTGAACGTGAAGTCATTGACAGCGTCACTGTGAACGGTGTTGTGATTGACCGCAACTCTTCGCTTCGGGTCATGCGTGCTGCCCTTGTCAGCCTTGGCTTAGGTAAGAATGGGTCTAAGAGCCAGTGTTGGGAGCGCTTGGTGCGCCATCTGCGTGAGGCCGATCTTTTGCGTGAGCATCAGGTCCATCACAACTTGAGCGCCGAGCTGAGTCGGCCACCACATGCACCACCAGTTCCTGCAGCTCCTTCGGACCACGATCGTGCACAGCATGTGCTGACACATGAACCGTACCAGCCCTGGTGCGATGCTTGTGTCAAGTTTCGCGGAAGACAGGATCGCCACCCGTCTGAGGCTTCGCATGATCCTGGCTCTCGGTCTGTCTTGTCTTTTGACTTTGGATACTGCTCGAGGGAAGCCGATGACGGTGTTCGAGAAGCCAAGGACCGCCTGACAGTCTTGTTTCTTCATGATCGTCACACCAAAGCCGTGCATGCCATTCCTGCGGCTCAGAAGGGCGGCAGCAGCCTCAGTCACTTGGTTACAGAATCAGCGAGGTTTGCGATATGGTTGGGTCACCGGTCCCTCAGACTCCGATGTGATAATGAACCCGCTATCCTTGCGGTGCAAGCCGGTCTCTTGAAGGCCCTTCGGAATCTTGGTGTCGACGTGTCCAAGGACACCGCTCCTGTGGAGTCTCACCAGAGCAATGGTCCGGTTGAGCAGGTTGTTGGGAGCATCAGGCAACATGCCGCTGTGCTGATGCATGATCTCGAGCAAGCTTGTGGAGCCAAGGACGATCAAGTGTTGTTTCCACCGCTGCATCCGATCTACGGATGGGCTCTTGCCCATGCCTGCTGGCTTCGCAACCGCTACACGCCTGTGCATGGCACTACTCCGTACGAGGCTGTGACTGATTCGGCGTACAGCGGCACCATCTGTCGCTTTGGAGAAAAGGTCCTGGGATACCTCAAACCTGACGGCAAATCCTCGGCGCGCTGGCGCCACGGCCTCTGGCTTGGAAAAGCTATAGGCAATGACACCCACATTTTGGGTTTGGTCGGTGGCGTCTTCGTGACGCGCTCAGTGCGAAGGTTTGAAGACAATTTCGATCCAGACTTTGCAGCCAGCTTTGATGTGAGTGTTTTCGAGCACGGGCTCTCGTCCATAGGGGGGAAACTTGTACTTGGGCACAAGAAGCCAGCCGCTCCTGTTGCAATGCCTATCCCAGCCTACGTTGGCCCTCCTCCTTCACCACCAGCCGCTGCAGAATCGCCTCTTCCTCACGAGGCTCGAGGCTCTCCTTCACAGATTGCAGGCACCGACTCGCCAGTGCGGTCTCCAACATCCATCAACTATAGCCCTTCTGATGGCATGAGTGCCACGGAGGATGCTGCTCTTTCTGATCGTCACGGTGATGTGTTGTCCACTGACGCAGGTGAACCCAGCTCAGCCGAGGCGGGGATGCCCGCAATTCCTGCCGAGGCGGGGGCAGTTGCCTCATCCGCTCCTCTGATTTCTGAGGCTCTGGGCCTCAGTGAGAATCCTCGACCAGCCAAGGTCGCCCGCAGGTCTGATGATGACCAAGTGATGGCTCTTGAAGGGCAGATTTCTTTGATTACCGCCCCTGGCTGCTGTGCGGATGAAGTGCCGGCTGGAGATTTGCTTGTAACCTCTGGAGAGGAGTCTCCCTGCGTTGTGCACATCAGGCAAGTGTGCTATGAGCATGAGGATGAAAATGTCACTTTGACGTTTGATGGTGACACGCTTGATGAGCTCGAGGATTACGACCAAAGTTTTCTTGAGGATCAGTCTGGTGACACTGAGTTGCTGCCTGAGCTGTGTCGGCCTCGCACTTCAGACATTGAGCCAGAGCTCTCTCCGGAGGAGCTCGAAGCTTTGGATGTGATTGCTGATGGAGTTGAGATTGCTAGGCTAGAAGGCATGACTGTGCTGCTTCCTGAGTCAGCAGCTCATAACGATGAGTACGCAGGTCAAGAGGCCACTCACCTCACCACGCGCATGGTGCGCACGTGGCGTGAGAAGGAGCTTGGTGGCTCCCCAGTTTGGTACCGACGCAGCCGGTACGTGGCCCGAGAGTATGCGTGGCTCAATGAGCGTCATGACCTCTTTTCGCCCGCCTCCACAGCACTTTCGAACCGCTTGCTGCCGATCCACTACCTGTGTCACGAGCCTGACCCTGATGATCCTTGGGTCATGGTCGCCCTCGACATCAGTGACGCTTACCTTAGCGTCAAGCAGACCCGCCTGGTCATTGTGCAGCATGCAGGTGTCCGCTACGTGCTGGGACGAGTCTTGCCCGGACAGCGGGACGGATCCAAGGAGTGGTACTTGGCATTTTCCAGTTTTCTTGATGAAGCCTTGGGTTTTAAGAAGTGTGATGCTCTGCCCTCGTTGATTCGCGAGCCAGCTTCCAAGTTCAGTATGCAGATGCATGTCGATGACTTGTTGGGTGCAGGCAGCAAGCGCTTTCTTCTTGAGCGCCTCCGGCCCACGCTTGAATCAAAGTATCGTGTAAGCATCCGCATCCTTGAAGCTCCGGGGGACACGATTTCGTTCTTGAAGCGGCATCACACACTTCTTGCTGACGGTAAAATGCTGCTAACACCCTCGGCCAAGCATTTTGAAAAGCTGTTTTCTGTGATGAAAATCGATGAACGGAGTGCCCCGAAGAAGACTCCTTATGCGCCGCAGCTTGATGAAGTAGACAACAGCGAGCTTCTCGCGTGTGCAGATGCAAAGGCTTTCCGCTGTGCCATTGGCATTCTTTTGTACTTGGCAGTGGATTTGATCGAGTGTCAGGGTGCCATCCGTGCGTTGAGCAGCTACATGACTTCGCCAACACGCAATGCGCAGGCTGCTTTGAGGCATCTGTTGAAGTATCTTCTTGAAGGCCAACACCATGGTCTCTTGCTTGATCGCAGAAACTGTTACAACGGAGTTTCCGGCGAGATTCCGAGACCGAGCCAGCCGATCCTGTGCTTAGAAGCTTTTTCGGACGCCAACTGGGCGGCGCATCGCGGCTCTCGCAAATCGGTTAGCTCAGGGATGGTGTTCGTAGCAGGTTGCCTTTTGTACAGCTCTAGCCGGACACAAAGGGTGATAGCTTTGAGCTCAGGGGAATCGGAATTGCTTGCGGCGACGTCTACACTCTGTGACGCTTTGTTTGTTCGGCAGCTGCTCGCTTTCATTGCCGACGATGAGCCACCCCAGATTCATCACTTCCTCGATGCCAGCGCTGCCAAAGGCATCATGGAGCGAAGCGGCGTCGGCCGCGTTAGGCACTTGAGCGTCCGAGTCTTGTGGACTCAGCAGCTTGTTGCAGATAAGATCATCATGCTTCGCAAAGTTGCAACATCGATCAATGTGGCCGACCTGAACACCAAAGGCCTTTCTCGGAGCCGCATGCTCATGCTTTTGCACATCATCGGTTGCTGGCATACTGTGTATGAGTGCTTTGTTGGAGAAGATGAGATTGCTGATCTACGCTACAAGCAGGCAATGAAGGACGCTGTGCGTGCCGTCCGCTCCACATCGAGTGCGTCCGTGAGCAAGCCTATGATTCAGGCCATTGTCATCGCTGTTGTGAGCGCCTTGAGTCGTGCTGCGGATGATGCTGACGGTGACAACGGCTTGGATGACTCAGGAGCTGATCTTCCTGATTGGGCCAACCGGGTCCTTGTGTGGTTCTTGGGACTGTGGGTCCGCGATGACACTGGTGTGTCTGTCATCGACATGCTGGTGCAGCCCCATGCTTTGATCCTTGCGTGCGTGACAATGCTGATGCTTGTGTTGTGCATCCGCACTTTGTGCTGCAGGGCATCTGATCGCGGCCAGGTCAATGTGCAGATCGCTGGCCCTCGTGATCATGTCTCCTTTCAGTTTGATCGCCAGCTCAATTTGCATGTTGGAGTTGGTGCGCCTGGGACCCCTACGAATCCTTTGTCTTTCGACTTTGACGGTGATGATAGCCCTCCACATGTTTTGTCCGCGCTACGCAAAGGTGCAAGGTCCAAAGCTTCTACCAGACCAGGTCCGAGGTACGACGATGAGGATGCTCCTCATCCCGACGCGAGTTCGTCAGCAGCACCGCCCACTGGTGCGATGAATGCAGTGCAGGCTCATGTGCCTCCTGCTGACCATGCATCAGCACCTGGAACACCAGCAGAATCCATGAGTTCGCAGCTTTCGACGCAGTCGTTCCGCGAGCTGCACGGGTACCCTATCGCTGTGGCACGGAGGATGAACCACCGTGGGAGCCTTGTGTGGGTGTCGCACACGGGCCGCTGCTATCATCGTCTCCGGTGCTTTAAGCTTGATGGGTGCGATCGTGTGAAGGCGTACGAGCGCCACGAAGCACAGAACCGCGGACTCCGTGCATGCAAGAAATGCAATCCTTGAGTGACGGTGCATGATGTATGTGCAAAGCCTCTCTTGATGGCCACTTGAAATGCTCTTGATGCGATGCTTTCTTGGTGTCAACACTCGGCGTGTTGATACCATGGGGCATCTTGTATATATCCACCTGTATTATAGCTTGGATGCTCATGTTGCTGGGTCCTGGACCCTTCTGTCAACTTCAGGTGCCGATGATCTTGAGCATATACTTGTATGGCTTTCTTGAATGTGCATATGGTGCATTTTGCACCATCAATACTAGTGACGCATGCCATTTTGGCAAACCCGAGAATGTGTGCACTTTGAGTGCACTGCTGACACGTGCGATGGCGATGATGCATTCCGCCACTGCTGAACCTTAATTAGGAGGTTCTAATACTTTTAGTCGTTGGTTGTAGGCTTCCTTCGGCTGTTTTGCGTACAGGGCAGACACTTTCTTGATTATCAACTTGTGTTTGCATGGTCCCGCATGAATCGCGCTTTCCTCACACTTTTGCGTCCTGCTGCAAGTCAGGTTTTCTTCACTTCTGTTGAGCGCTGCCAGTTTGTTGCTTCACGACCACGGGTCCACTTGCCTGAGTCAAGCTTGCAACAACAGGAGCACACTGCTACGGCGAGTGTGTTTCTGTTTCCGTAGGCAGCTGGTGCCACTGCACCCGTAGGGTAGCAGGTAGCTGTAGCCAGTTCAAGCCAAAGACCTTTCGGCAGTGCTTGTGAGCAGAGGTGCACGTTCGTGGGAGCAGTAACCACTAGTTACTTTGTTGTCGTACTCGTCATACCGGCCCTAGCGTAGCTTTGAGCTTTCGTACAGTGTGGCTTTGGAAGTCGCAAAGTTATGTGAAAGCATTGGCCTTAGTTGGACTTCGGCATGCTTTAGGCGGGGTGCAAAACTTTGCACACCTTGTATATGTACTCGTACAGTATGTACACGTATTTTCCATTTGTTTTCCTGGCCGGTATTTACATGTGCATTTGTTTTACTTGAAGAGCTCCCTAATTCGTTTGAGCCCAATGTGCTGACTTCGCTACTCCGCAGGCGCTTGTGTTTGAGTGAAAATTAGCAGAAAGCATTCGAGCTTCTGCTCCAGAGCACGGATCGCCTCTGGCCCGCCAGCCTCCAGCTGAAGTGTGGCCACGCCCTCCTCACAGCGAGCCAAACGGCATCTCAGCCCAGAGTACAAAAAGGTGCCTTGGGCCTCGAACCGGCGCATCAGCCCCTCATCGGGCTTGATCTCCACCAGCTCGGCCTCTCTGCGCCTTTTCTGTGCCAACCGGTCCTCGGCCCTGTCCAGCTTGCGCTTCTCGGCCCGCTTCTGCGCGGCGAGCTGGATGATGACGGTGAGCTCCTGCACGCTGCCAGCCTGGTCCACCGGCCCCAGGATGCGGTCCAGCCGGTCCGAGCTCGCTGCCAAAGTGGATTCCACCCGGTCAAAGCGCCTCTCCAAGCCGGCGTTGCCCCGCCGCACCTCGTCGACCGTGCGGTCGGCTTCAGCAGTGACGTGCCGCCGAGTCCTGACGCCTTCGGCCCGGCGCTCCTTCAACTGCTGCAGCTCCCTGCTGAGCTTGGCGCGCTCCGCATCAGAAAGCGTGCGGGGACCATTGGGCCCAAGAAGCCTCACCAGGTAGTTGAGGCGATTGTTCTCCGGAGCCTTCTGTCCCGCCATGATAGCAACGAAGAGCAAAGCCGCAAATTGCTTTGAAGAGCCCAATATCTCGACCGCACAAAAGTGAACGCGCAGACCTCGCGACTCAGCACCTAGCGATTCAGCACCCAATTCAGCACCTCGCGATTCAGCACCCAATTCAGCACCTCATTCAGCACCTCGCGATTCAGCACCCAATTCAGCACCCGATTCAGCACCTCGCGATTCAGCACCCGATTCAGCACCTCGTTCAGCACCTCGCGATTCAGCACCCAATTCAGCACCTCGTTCAGCACCTCGCGATTCAGCACCCAATTCAGCACCTCATTCAGCACCTCGCGATTCAGCACCCAATTCAGCACCTCATTCAGCACCTCGCGATTCAGCACCCAATTCAGCACCTCATTCAGCACCTCGCGATTCAGCACCCAATTCAGCACCCGATTCAGCACCTCGCGGCGCGCGACGGCGGGTGCGCGGGGAAGTGCCTAAAAGGTGCCTAATTTTCTGGGTGTGGCGTGAGCACTCGGACGACCCTGGCCTTCATTTTCCCTGGGCACCTGCGCTTCCATGTCACAATTGGGCAAGGAGACTCGGACCCTTCGTTTCACAAACTGAACTCCGCCACGACGTCAATGGGCTTGCCGGCTGCAAGCCCCTGGCGGAAACCCTGGATGAAAATTTCACGCCTCAGCGAAGGTCGAGTGCGAGCGAAGCAATAGGGGAAAACCCAATCAAGCGAGGAGCTCACGCGAGGACAATGCATCCCAAAACCTCGGTTCGATCATCACCTCGCGGTTGTCGATGAGGTAGACCATGCGGTGCTCCTGTGAACCTGGGATCCGGCGCCAACAGGGGCAGTGCAAGCCTGAGGCAGGCTCAGGCTCCAGCGCCCCGCTTGGACCTCTCGACGACTGGCGCCTTGCTCCAGACCAGGCCCTGCACTTTGCGACATGGGGACCTGGGCGATCCTAGTCGCAGCCCTGCGGCAGCACCGCGGGGCCCGGCCAGCCAAGCAGGGAGGAACAAAGGGCACTGCCTGGCAGCCTCGGAGCCCCAAAAGCCTGACCCCCGGAACAAAACCCCGAAGCCTGGCGCACACGAACGCTCCTACCTGCACGGCTGCACTCTGAGCTCCCGGCACCACCCGCCCCACCCACCGCCCACCGACTTGAAAGGCAAAGCTGCGGCGGCGGCAAAAAGTCAGCAAGCGGCGCGCGACGGCGGGTGCGCGGCGCGAGGTGAGGTACAAACCCCAGCGACAGGACTTCGGTTTTTTCACCCCCCAGTCGCGGCAGCACTCGTGCCCCCGGGCTGCTCCTGATCGAAGAAGAGAAAGACCTCCTCGAAGCCATCCTCCGGCGCAGCCGCCAGGGAGCTCATCAGCCTGCGGTGCCGCTCGTTCCCCGTGACCTCGCCCGGCTGGCCATCCACGGTGAACTCGTCCGGGTTGTAGCGCACCACCTTGACCACCGGAAGGGCAGCACGAATCCGACGGAGCCGCCTGGCCTCCCTGTCCCCGTCCCGCAGCTTGTGCTGGAGCTCGTCGACCTCAAGCGCCACCAGGCCCCAGGGCTGCCGGATCAGGAAGTCGATGCGAGCGAACCTGGGCTCCTGTCCGTCATGGAGGTCAACCCGGAAGCCGCGCTGGAACTGGATCTCCGCGTCCTCAAGCCAGCTCGCCACACAGTCCTCGCGGGGCACCCCCAGCTTGCGCTTCTTCTCGTGGCTCGAGAGGTGCTTGCGTAGGTCAGCTGCCTTGTGGCACCGGTAGCCGCAAAGGTGGCACTCGTGGGGCCGCTCATCTCGGTGGCGGATTCTTAGTGCTCTGCGTCGAGGCTGTGTAGCTGCACTCTTCGCACCGAAAGGGGCGCAGCTTCAAGTGCACGGAGTCCCGGTGCCTCTGCAATTGGCTCGGGAACTTGAAGACCTTCCCGCACTCGGGGCAAGCAACCATGGGACCTGGGCGGCAAGGTGTGCGCGAGTGACCGAGCAAAAGCGAGACTTAGCAGCCTCGGAGCCCCTAAACGCCTTTACTCCCGGAACACAACCCCGAAGCCTGGCACACGCACACCACTCCTACCTGCACTCCTAGTGAAGACCCTCCTACGGCTGCACTGCGGGGACCCGGCCAGCCAAGCGACGTCGGACCTGGGCGGCGAGAGAAAGGAGGAGGGAGCGGGAGCGGGGGGGAGGGAGGAACAAAGGGCACTGCCTGGCAGCCTCGGAGCCCCAAAAGCCTGACCCCCGGAACAAAACCCCGAAGCCTGGCGCACACGGAACGCTCCTACCTACGGCTGCACTCTGAGCTCCCGGCACCACCTGCCCCACCCACCGCCCACCGACTTGAAAGGCAAAGCTGCGGCGGCGGCAAAAAGTCAGCAACTCAGGGCAGTAGGGCGGGGACCTAACGCAGGGCAGCGGGGAGAGCCTACGGGGAGCGCGCACACGGACCACTTGCAGGGACGAGGGGGTCAAGCCTACAGCCGGGACCGAAGGGGAATAGGGTGCCCTGAACCCGAACTCCCGCGGCACACTTTCACAGGGTGAACGCCACTCCCTCGTTGCACCCCCCGCCGCCCCCAAACGGATTCGACGACTAGGATGTACTTGCATACTAAGCTCACCGTGAAAAATCCGTTTGGGGACAGGGGCGGTGCTCGTTGTGCGAGGCAAAACTTGGAGCTGAAAAGCTGTGCTACATCCCCATACCAAAGAACTGGTCCTGGACGAAAAGGCCGCTCATAGCATCCGAGACGAAGCCACCATCATGCTCGTCATCCTCGTCGTCCTTTTTGCCGGCCCCCAGTGGGCGGCTGTCCGGAGCCTCAGCAATCCTCTTTTTTCTGCGCCGCCTCCGGGACTCCTCCTCCGGTAGCGGCCTTTTCCCAGGCTTTGCAGCGGACGCCTTGGCCTTCTCCGACGGCGCTGCATTTTTTTCCATAGCTGCAGCAGGCTGTTGCGGAGGAATCACATTTGGTGGCTTCAAGCACGGTTTTCGGCTGCTCGGCTGGGTTTGTCGGAAGACACAGTTTTCGCAAACTCCGCACCTCGCCAAAGTCGCCGTTTTCGATCTGCCTGGGGCTGAAGCTCGGCCGGCTGGAGTAGGCGTCCCAGGAGCTCGCCCTGGTGTCCCCGGAGCTGACATCTGATGGGCCATCAGGTTGAGCATCTTGTCTGTCGTGCTCAGGAACTGCTGGTGCATATCTTCAGTTCGAAGAACCACAGTAGCAGTATGCTCGCGGATGGCGTCTATGAGAAGCTGCCCATCGCCCAGCCGTTCCAGAATCGCGCCCATCTGTTGCAAAAGCAGCAAAACCGGACTGTCGCGCGAAACGGCCAGAGCCTCCTCTACAAAGGTCAAACGCGCCTGCTCGACCCGCCGGGTGACCTCGGCTTCCATCTGGACCCTCATCTCCTCCTCAAGCAAAGCCCGGAGCCGGGAAGATTCGGCTTCTCTCCACCGCTGGCGTGACCTCTCCTCAACCTCGACTTCTTGCCGCCTTTGTGCCGCTCTGTGCTCTTCACGAACGCGGCGCTGATGTTGGCGAGCCTCCTCCTCGTGGCGACACTCCTCCTGTCCTTCTGCCAGAGCACGGTTCACCTCAGCGTCGGCTGCCACTTGCTGCTCCAAAGCACGGGCTCGCCCTTCATCACCGTCGGAGCTCACGTCCTCCGGAGGGTCCACCACATCATCCGTCGGACCGTCCACTGGCAGCTCGCCCTCCGCCCCAGACAGCAGCCGCATGGACATCATGAGCAACATTGCCCAAAACCATGCTCTGAGCAGCACCATTGCGGGATCGCCCTCTTCGCGAGACTCCGTGCTTCCTAAGTGAGCTGCTGCTCTGCTGCTGTGCTGCTGTGCGGTGCTGCTGTGCTGCTGTGTGGTGCTGCTGTGCTGCTGTACCTTAAAGTGCCCCACATGAGCTGCATGTGCCCTGGCTGAGCTGTGCCCTAGTTGAGCTGCCGTGCCCTAGATCACCTGCATGTGCCCGGGACCTCACCTCGGACCTCCTGCATGAGCTTTGAAGCATGAGATCGAAGATGCAGCCTCAGAACTCCCGTTCAGAAAGCGAACAGCCCAGCAAAGCATGAAAGCACGCTCTCTCTCTGGACGGTTTCCCCACCCCGCCCTCCGTTCCTGCTGAGAGGATCACGGATCTAAAATTTCGAGAGGACCTCGGAGGCCTTATCGGCTCTAAACTGCAACAACAGGGGAGGCCCTTCGAGGCTTCCTACGATTCTGTAGGAAAAAAGAGCTCCTGCAAGTGGAGCTTCCCAGCGCAAAAACAGCCCACGTACAGCAAGCAATCGAAACAGTTGAAGCTACAAGCTGAGATTAACATCTACCAGTAGATGCCGCAAAATCCTCGCATCAGCGTGCCAGCATTTAGCTGCAGCAAACTTATCAAGAGCATTACCACAGGAGGGCGGCGAGCCTCATGTGCATCAGAGGTGAGCCTGTTTAACGTCTTTGGTCTCGACCCAAACTGCAGATAGCAGACGTGCTTTTTGCAGCCTTACTTCAAAGCAGCAAATCCAAATGCAGCGCAAGATGTGCGATGGAACTGGGCCACACCTGCAGCCACTGTCCTGAACATCTTCTTCAGTTCCACTCTTCTCTGAAACATAATGCGCGAGCTGGAGAAACCATGGGAACCCACATGTACCCCACAGGGAACCGAGCTGACACACTGCAAGAGCCAAGGGAGCCCACCCAGACCTTTGCGCAATATATGCTGGGAAAACCATGGGAACCCACTTGCAATGCTGCAAAAAGCAAGGAACCCACAGGGAATCCACCGTCGACGCTGTTAAACCATGGGGACCCAAAAACTGCTGCAAAAAACTAGGAAACCCACAGGGAACCCAGCTGACATGCTGCAAAAGCCAAAAGAGCCTATTGGAAAACCATGGTAACCCACTTCAAATGCTGCAAAAACCCGGGAACCAAACAGAACCCACCGTATCGACGGTGAAAAACCATGGGAGCCCACTTAAAAAAGCTGCAAAAACTAAGGAACCCACAGGGAACCCACCGTCCATGCTGCAAAAACCATGGGAATCTACAAGACAGCTAAGTGATGAACATACACAGACCACGCGAAATGCTGCAAAAAAACAAGGGAACCCATATGTTGCCCACCTGAAGTGTTGCAAAAAACAAGGGAACCCACAAAGAATCCACCGTCGATATTGTTAAAAACCATGGGAACCCATTTAAAAATGCTGCAAAAACTAGGGAACCCACAGGGAACCCACCGTCCATGCTGCAAAAACCATGGGAATCTACAAGAAAGCTCAATGAAGAACATACACAGACCCACCCGAAATGCTGCAAAAAACAAGGGAACCCATATGTAGCCCACCTGAAGTGCTGCAAAAGGGAACAAGGGAACCCACCCATCTGCTGCAAAAACCAACGGAACCCACCCTTTGGGTAGTATAACACTATTAGAACGGTGGAAGGTCCCAGACATGCCGGAGTCAATCAAACTCAGTTGGCAGCTGAGTATTATACCACCGGCTTTGTCCTAAGGGTGAAATCATTTGCCCGCCACCTCTGAGCTCGTTCAGGTTCCCTCGTCTGTATCCTCACACCCTGCAGCATACAATCTCGAATCAAACTGCGGCGGATCAATAGAGTCTGCCTGTCCTAGCTTTCTGCAAGCGGACAATTTCGGATCCAGATTTCCCATGCTGCGCGTTGCTCTACGTAAAAGACTACGGCGCTCAGCTTCGACCTTGCAACAGGCTCAACATTTCAGAAGCGAATGAGCATGATATGACGGGCTCACATTCGTGCATTCGGAAAAACCTGCTAGATGTCAACAAAGAGTTTTGGCTGCCCACATGGACTACAGCAAGGCTCACTTACTCATCCTAAACCCTACACCGCAACGCAACCACGTTTTGTGGCCTTCAGAAAAAGAAGGCTGGGATTACGTCAAAGCAAGGCTTCGTCACTGACTAGCCGGAAAGTTTACCAGCTGCTCAGGCAACAGTTTGGGCAATGCTCATACATTCACTGGCTCAGATGGCAGACCTCATTGCCAGATGGCAAACCCCACTCCGCAGAGTCATCGCTTTTAGTGCCGGGCTCAAAGCCCGTAAAACATTCGTGCCCTGCCTCAGACAAGGCTTGCACACTGCTGAACCGCTCACGCTCAACCGAAGACGAAGAAGTTACTAGCTGCCACGCAACAGTTCGGGTCACAGCCAAGCTCTCTCACCCACTGCTTCGGCAGGGCTCGCACCGCTGACCACTCTCAGCGCCGGGCTCAAAGCCGTAAACATTCATTCCCTTGGAAAAGAAAGAGCGAAGCTTGGTCACTGCTCACCCGACACCGAAGAAGAATTTACGCGCTGCAGGCAGCCGTTCGTCGCAGCTAAGCTCACTCATTCACACTCACTGACTCACGTACTAAAAGCTGGCAGAGCTTAGTCACTGCTGACAGATGGCAGAGCTTAGTCACTGCTCAACAGATACTCGCTGCTGGGGCAACAGTTCAACACCAGAGAGGCGACAGCGAAGCTCACTGACCGCTGATCACTCTCAGTGCCGGGCTCAATGCGCGTTAAAACATTCGCGCCATCGTGTGAGAAACGACAAGGGTTAATTACTGCGATTCAGAAAGCTGCCGTGCTACTGTTTTGGCCTGGGCAAGTTCAAACATCTACATTCGACGGGGCAGCAGACAGAACCATGCCTTGCGAAGTCGTTTTTGCTCTGCTTTCAGGATCTTAGCGACTCTGCGCGCTTCTACCTGCTTTGGACGAAAGACAATCAAGACATCTTGTAGACACGCAGACAATACCACACCTTTGCATCCTGACGCTCCTGTCGCAGGCGGGCCAGACGGGCGGACAAAGTCTCCTAGCAACAGGCAGACGAGGAAGGACCATTTATTTACGAAGGACGTTCTACACTCCTGCGGCAACTCCACTCTTTGAGGGGG